TGATTGAGTTGCCAGTAATGTCACTGAATATTGTCAGATCTGCAACTATCCCTTCACAACTAGAGGAATTCTGATGGGTCATATTACTTTGAGCTACCAGAATTTTCAGGTTATTTTTTTTTCTCAAAATGGAAATGTTTCCTTAATGCTTCTTTCCTTTTCTGTTTCTTTTGCTATTTTACTGATTAAGCATTTGTATCTTCAGGTTACTGATACCCCTGGTATCTTAAGGCGATGTGATGGTAAAAATTCTTGATCGTTTACCATTTGCATAATGTGGATAATTGTTTCTCTGAATTCCTTTGCTTTCTCCCACATATTGCAAAGAAGCTGATGACACATCATCGCTTTTGATAATGAAATGGTTGTTTGTAGGAAACCAGATGTGTATATTATCTTGGTTCATTTGCGGAGAACAGTATGTGTTTGTGGAAGAGTGAATTCATTTTATTAAAACTTGGTATACTATTGACAGAAATTGTTCCTTCTTTGCGTGCAAATATTTGTGTGTTACTTAGATCTCTGAAAAATTATGATATTAATAGCTGCAATTTCTCTTCTTCAAGTAACAGGCTACTTCGTGCAAAAAAAAAAGGGGTAAATAAGAAAAAGTAGAATCAGATAGTCTAATTTGAGATGAGAAAGCATTACTCAGTTTCTTCATTACAATAACTCTAATGATGCAAAGTTGTCTGAAATAAGTATAAATGTGAATTTTCATGTTTTGACTTTAAAGAAAATAAAACAACTATAGTTTTCTTTTTGCTATGCTGCTCAGAAAATGGTGAGATAATTATTCATAATTCAGTAAATTTCTTTCTTGTAATCTGGACTCTTCTGTTCTGTAGTCATGGATTACTTCTCTATCATTTTATATTTATGTTTCACAAATTTTCTTTATTTTGATTGAACCTGCAGAGGACAGGAATAACTTGGAAAAGTTAACACTTGCTGTTCTGACTCATTTGCCGACTGCAGTACTTTATGTTCATGATTTATCCGGAGAATGTGGGATGTCGCCTTCTGATCAGGTACCTCCAATGCTTTCTATGTTTTGGTTATTACTGGAACTCTGATCTTCAAGTACTCTAGAGAAGTGATGGATTGATTATTCTTCTATACCAGAATTGTTAAACATGGAGACTGAGATATATTATATATCTGAAGTAATTTGTGCAAGAAAAAGTTAACGTGTTTGAACTTGCATATTGATGATTTTAAAAAGCTATCTTATCTGATTCTCCAATAATGAGAAGATGGATCATATGAGAATGGTCATGAACTAGTAAAGCCTATATGCACAGAAATTTGACGTGCTAGAACTTGCATATTGGTGTTCTATAAAAAGCTATTTTCTCCAGGTAATGATAGGATGGATCAACTGAGAGTGGGTCACGAGTTAGTAGAATGTGAATTAGTAGCTGTATTAATATAAGAGCTCCCAGTGAACACTCAGCAAGTGTCCCTTTCAAACTCCTTTTTTCTTTCTTTTCCTTGTTCCTTCTGTTTGATAGGGGGCTGGGACGGTCCTTCCCCAATCATAGAAGAGTTAAGTGTCCCTTTCAAACTCCTTTTTTCTTTCTTTTCCTTGTTCCTTCTGTTTGATAGGGGGCTGGGACGGTCCTTCCCCAATCATAGAAGAGTTATGAATGTTTTTCAATAATCTTAAAAGCATAGGACAATGTTAATACCCTTTGTGATACTGGTTTTTGCACGTCAAATTATTATTTTTCAATCTTCTCTAGTTTCTCATATTGTAGGGAGGGCTGATTGCTAACTTCCGCCTATGCAGTTTGTGATCTATAAGGAAATGAGAGAGAGGTTCAGCAGCCACATTTGGCTTGATATTGTGTCCAAATGTGACTTGCTGCAAGCATCTCCTGTCATCTTTGCAACAGATGAATGTAATATTGATGACGTTGAGCTGGTGAGGTATAGGACAATGGGACCTGATGGAGCGTTACATGTGTCAGTCAAGAATGAGATTGGTCTTCATGAGGTACCATTCTATTACCCTTATATGCCATCTTACAGATTACTGAGCAGGTTATTTAACTTAAACCTGTATGAGTTTCCGAAGCGTCACAAAATACAAGTTTTAGAACTTAAAACATAATTTGGGAATTCGTCTCGCAGTTGAGATAATGTATTATACATCTTATTGGCAATAAGTTGACCACTTTTGATCCTTGGAAGATGCAAATCCCCCTGTATGATTATTCTCTATATTGGTTGCTATTGAATGGCAGGTTTGAGAGATTTCAAATGTTTAAGTTGTGCATGTAACTGCTAGCGTCTAAAACTTGAACATGTATTCAAGAGCGTCTGCTAATTTTATGACTTCTCTTTTGTCTTCTCATTGTACCTGGGGTGACAAGTGTCTTATGCTCGTATTGGTAATAGTTTATTCAGCAGTGTTTTGCTGTTTTTCTGAAAGTTGAACCTTTTCCGGCCGCAACAGAATATGATTATTCTGACGAGTTGCTAGTCTTTTCACCTTGGACAAAAGGTTCAGAGCTTGGGAGCTCCTATTTGAAGTTATCAGTGAAAAACTGAAAATTACTTTGTTTCTATAATGATTAAGGAGTAGCAGAGCCAGAGACAAAAACATGGCTCTATGAGCTCTTTACTTTTTACTAGCTGATACTGATTGTGTTAAAAAATTTCCCGAAATTGCTTTCACTATCCACAGTTTCTAAGAGTTCATCCTATAGGCTATAGAACTCAATAATCAGCATGAGGTAGACATTATTTCCATGAAGCTAACTTTCTTCGTTAGTATGTTCTGACATATTCTTTGGGTTTTTGCAGTTGAAGAATAGAGTTTATGAGTTGCTTGTTTCTCAATCAGAGAGGATCAAAAACCAAAAGAGCAAAGAGGAAGAGCTGGAAGTTTCAAGCTAGTTGGTTCTGTGACTCCAAAAGAGATTTTTGGCCGTAGCCGGAATTTGGCTTCAATTTTTTGGGCTTTCGTAATTAGCCGAATCTGAGTCGTGGTCTATCACATATTTACAATATGTACCTGTGTGTTTCTAACACACATTTGCAGGTCCAAGAACACGACATATCTCTTGGTGGCTAGGCAGTTGAACGATGAGGTCCTCGTTTGCTTTGCTTTAAATCCCACCTCTTAAGATACCAACAAATCATTTGTCTAATGGGACCGATGGGGTTGCCATATCTCGCATCCTATTTTTGACTCTTAGTTGTAGCCACTTTTCGATAAGTTTTTAGTCAGTCATTTATGGATGATACTGAGATGCATTTGGAGGTTTAAAAGGTTAAATTTCCAAAGCTCTAATACTGAACCATCTTAAATTTACCAGTAGAGACTGAATCTGCCTTTGTCATCAAGGAATAAGTGCTATGTAAAGTTGAAGTTGATGTACATTACTCTTGGTTGAAAGAAGGAAATCCTTGTTCTAGTAAAGAAGCTTATTTATTTTCCCTAATGATTGTTCTTTGAGGCGTGTGATGTCAGTGATTTACATTTTCAACACTAACAATGACACTGTTGTCTTACCCAGCCCAATATACTTTACTAAGTTCTTGTTGATTAAACAAGACATAAGTTATGGATGCAAACATTGACAAAATAGACTGATGAGATAAAACTGGGACTGGGGTATATTATAGCAAGGGTTGAATTAGAACTGGGAATATATTCGCAGTTGGGATTATTATTTGGGGATACAAATCTTACTGCATTTCTATATTTGCATAGCAATCAGATGAATGTGTTTTACCGATGTTTCTCCTGAACTGACCTCTTACACATTAGTTATGTGTAGAAATCTCACTTATTTTATACTCCACCAATTGGAGTGGGAAAAATAATAAATATCTCTTATTTTTCGAAAACGTCAAATACTTTGGAACAAATTCAGTTTATCAACAACAAATAGTATAAAAACGGAGGCAGTATCAAGGAAAACAACATATACCCTGAAAAGCAGCATAAGTATCATCGCCACTGTTCATTTCTGCGTCGTAATTACCCATAGTACGCTAGTGTAAGAGATCACACACGATATAGAATAACGGATTTATTTAATGTTCACTAGTCAAAACGTTTCAAAGCTTAAAGCTGTTCAAGGTAAATAAGATTCTGCAGAAACTACCATATTAGCCCAAATGGGAAAGTTATACTTCAAGTTTTTCATAACTAGAAATACTAGTCAATAATATTACCAAAGTTATGCTAAAGATGCTGGAGGGTAGCTAAACCAGGAAGTTGAGGCCACTATACAAAATCCTATTGCTAGTACTATAGTCATCATTACATAATAAGTTGGTTCATGCCCAAGGATCTCTAAACAATATTTATTAAAAATTTCTTGAATATTGGTGGGGCAATTGCTATATATAATGAACGCACTTGAGAAAGCGATTCATCATCAGTGGAAAAGTGTACAAGTTCCATCTGATGCCAACGAATGTTATTGATATGATCGTATGAAAAAGCAGTTAAGTGTCATGCTGCTAAGCGGAACAACCTGAACACTAATAAAACCAGCTGAATTCTCTGCACTAATTGTGCATGCAATCAATTTGGATGGAATTATCGAGAGAGAGAATATGGAAGAGAAGAAAAGAAGCCGAGAGAAGAAAACTGTTTTAGGAGAATGATAACTATCAAATGAAATACACTTTGAATGTGGCCTTCTATAGCAACTAATTTTTATCCTCTAACCACTTACTAACTCAAAAGTTTTTGATATTATATACGATCCCCTTTGCTTGGTACACCTAACATTTCAGCCCATATAATAATACTCCCCTCAAGTTGGAAGATGAAATACATTGAGCATCCCAAGCTTGGACAGAAGAAAGTGGTGCTATGCTGATCCTACACCTTTTGTCATTAAGTTAGCCAACTGCAAAGTAGCTAGTAGAGACATACTGTGGAGCTATCAAGCCACTCTTGATCTTTATCGCAGAAATTGACGATTTATCTTAATGTGATTGGTTCTTTCATGAAACATGGGGTTGGCAGCTACCTACAAGACAACTTTGCTATCACAATACAAAACAACTGGCTCATGAACGGTAACCTGGAACTCCTTAAGCAATCCCAGAAACCAAATAATTTCTGGTGATGCTGCTGCAAGACTTCGATACTCAGCTTCAGCTGAACTTTGACTAACAACTTGTTGTTTCTTTGATTTTCAAGAAAGCAAAGATTCACCTGATTTGATAATGTAACCTATGACTGTGACTGACCTCCTAGTTTTGGGACAGGAAGTCCAGTCTGAGTCACAAAATATAGAAAGGTGATTCTTGGGGCCTCTGTTTAATAATAACCCAAGGCTTGGAGCATTTTGACATACCCCACCACACACAAAACTGCATCCCAATGAGATTGTTTGGAATGTTGCAAAAAGTGACTAAGCACCTGGAAAGTAAAACAAATGTTAGGCCTGGTAGTGGTCAAGTAAAGGAGCTTGCCAATGAGCTTTTGGTGATTATCAACATCTAGCAATTCTTCATCTCCTGTAACCTTTACATATTTGTCATAATTAATAGTGGTTATTTTTTGATTCAGTTCAATAGGAGTAGAAATTGGCTTAGCTGCTGCAAGACCAACTTGTGAAATAAGCTGAAGAGCATATTTTTTCTGTGTGAGCAATATCCCTTCTTTGATCTCAGAATTTCAATTCTAAGGAAGTATCTTAATTTCCTTAAATCTTTCACCTTAAAAAAGCTATGTAGGGTCTATTTGGCTTCTTCACCGAACTCCATTTTGCTACCAGTGATAAGTAAATCATCACACACACCACAAATAATGACAATATGAGAACTTGTTTTCTTAGTGAATAAGGAATGGTCATTTGCACTCTGAGTGTAACTAGCTCCTAAAAGAGCTTCGGCCAACTTAGTATTCTATTGTCTTGAAGTTTGCTTGAGACCATATAGTGATTTAAGCAATTTGCAAACCTTAATCTCCCTTTGTTTGTGGAAACCTTAAGGTAGAGTCATATAAACCTCTTCATGAAGTCCATGCATTATTCACATTCATTTGAACTAGGCCACATCCTTTATAAGAAGTTGCTATACTGATAATGGTTCTCACAGTAATCATTTTTTCTACTGGTAAGAAGGTCTCACGATAGTCCAAACCTTCCTGTTGAGTATATTCTTTGACTATTAATCTGGCTTTGTATCTTTCAATTTTACCATTTACCTTGTATTTGATCTTAAACACCCGTTTAGATCCTATTGCTTTTTTACCAACATGCAGATCAACAAACTCTCATGTTGCATTATCTTCAAGTGTCTTAATATATTATGACATAGCTTATATTTATTTCTTATCTTGGCATGACTCTGAAGGATCTTGGTTCAACTCTAGTTGAAAAGACTCCCAAATAAGACATCTAACCTTCTAACAAGTGATCATAGGAGATAAAGTCTGCGATATAGTAAGGATTAAATAGTATTCTATGGTCTGGGTGCTGTAACATGGTCCTTGAGCCAAATACAAGGTATGGAGACTCTACCAGACTTTCTGGTATGCACATTGGTACAATATTCAACTCATCTATATGAGTTGTATTCGTCAAGTAGTTCAACTACAACTTTAGGTACTTCAACTAACTTTGCAGGATGTGGTTGTATGTCATGTGCATCATCAGGTTTTAATTGAGGTTTCATGTGTGTTAGTTATGCCATGACTTCAATGTGAGTAGGATGTTCACCATCAACTTCTATTAGAGACGCTGCAACATTAGATCTTTCATTTGGGACCAGAGTTTCAGAATGATGGCGATTCTTCTGTGTAGGCATCTAGTCATCTGTGACAACTGAAATAGGCTCATGCGGAAAAATATCTTCTATGAATTTTATGCCTTCCTTAAAGGGAAAAACATGCTCCCTAAACAATACACCTCTGCTGATAAACACCCTTCCAATTTCTAGATCATACAGTCTGTAACCTTTTTGTATTTCAGAGTAACCAATGAGAATAGACGTTCTTGCCCTAGGTGTAAATTTATCCTCTCCTAGTAAATTGCTTGCAAAGTATAAGCAGCCAAATACCTTAAGCGATCTATTTTTGCAGGTTTACCATGTAACATTTCATAAGGACATTTCCTTTTTAATACTCATATAGGCAATTTATTTATCAAATATACAACAGTTCTCAAACAATCACCCCAAAATTTTATTGGCACTGAACTTTGAAATGCAAAGCCCTTACAGTCCAGGATGTGAATATGTGTTTTCTCTCCACTGTAATATTTTGTTGAGATGTATATAAACAACTGCTTTGATGTATGATCCCAAGAGTCGCTAACAGTTCATTACAATGAGAGTTAAAAAATTTAGTGCCATTATGTGATCTCAATACTTTTTACAGTGACACCAAACTGATTTCTTATTATTGCAATAATGTTTTTTTTACAAAGAATACCCCACACTTTGGTAGAATAAAATATACCCAGATATACCTACAATATTCATCTACAATGGTAACAAAGCAATGCTTCTCATTATAGGTAGGAGTTCTATGAGGTCCCTGTAATGACCTGGCCGGCCGTTTTGAGTATTCTAGCATTGTATTCCCTATTGTATTCTTTACATATATGTATTTGTAGTTACGTAACTTGTCGGAGTGATTGGTGTGTTTTTAGGAGAGTTTTGGGTTAATTTGGGACGCTTAGTCCCTTGGTTGGAGGCTTAGGTTGTAAAAGTTGATTGAAGTTTGACTTTTATGTAGACGACTTTGGAATAGTATTTTGATGGTTCTAATAGCTTTGTATGATAATTTTGGACTTAGGCGTATGTCCGAATTTTGATTTCGAGGTCCGCAGGTTGATTTGATGTTTTTTGGCGAAAATTGGAAAATTGAAGGTTTGGAAGGTTGATAGGTCTGACTGAGGGTTGACTTTATTTATATCAGACTTAGATTGTGATTCCGAGAATTGTTATAGGTCCACTGTGTCATTTCAGACTTGCCTGCAAAATTTGAGGCCATTCGGAGTTGTTTCGGTTTGTTCGGCGCAAGTTTTTAATTTAGAAATTTCATTAGCTTCCTTAGGCTTGAATTTGGGTGCAATTCGTAGTTTCGATGTTATTTTATATGATTTGAGGCCTCGAGTAGATGCGTGCTATATTTTGAGATTTGTTGGTGTACTTGGACGGGGTCCTAGAGGCCTTAGGTGTGTTTTGAATTATTGTCGGAACAATCTTGGACTTGGTTGAATAACTAAAGGTATCTGATTTTTGGTTTTTTCGCACCTGTGAAGGCATGACTGTAAGTAGCCCGCAAATGCTGACATGGATCCGCAGAAGCGAAGCTGGGGAGGATGGATCTGGGTCCATATGTTCAGATATTTGATCCCAGAAGCAGTGTTAATGGAGCTCAAAATTTCCATATATGTAGAAGAATTGCATAGAAGCGAGACCGAACCTGCGTTGGTGGACCCCATAAGCGTATTCGCAAGTACGAGGTCTAGACTGCAGAAGCAGAAGTACTGGTGTTGAGGTAGGATCACAGATGCGATGTCTTGATCGCAAATGCGGAACCACATATGCGGTTAAGTGACTACAAATATGACATTCACTGAGCAAAAATAGCTTGGACGAGGGTTTTATTTCATTTATCACACGTTGAGTTAGAGAACTCGGTATTGGGCGATTTTAAAGGAAATTTTCACGATTTAGATTGGGGTAAGTATTTTTGACTCGGATTTGTTATTATTTCATGATTCCAACCTCGATTTTAGTGTTTGATTAGTGATTTGAATTGGATAAATTGGGAATTATTGTGAAAAATTTTCTGAAATATAAATTAATGATATGAAGGTTGATTTTAGGTCGGAATTGGATGATTTTGTTATGGTTGGACTTGTATCGGAATCGATACTCGGAATTTGTAAGTTTTGTCGTATTCCAAGGTGCGACCTAAAGTTGACCTTTTGAGTCGACTTTTTGATTTTAGTTAAAGATCGAAACTTTATTATTCAAAATTATTTTCTATAAGTTTTATTTATGATATTAATTTATTTTGGCGAGATTCGAGCAATCCGGAGGTAGATTTGCACGGAAAGGGCTTATTAGTGGACTGATTTAACTTGTTTAAGGTAAGTATCTTGCCTAACCTTGTATGAGAGAAATACCCCTTAGGTGCTAGCCCAATTTGTTGATTTCTATGATGTGTTAAGTGATGTGTACATGATGCGACGAGCGTGTATACGAGCACTATGTGTGATTTTGACCGAAATAGACCACCGACTCTTAACATATCTTAATATGATAATGAACTTTATATGAAACTTGTAAAATCACTTTATGACTATTTGATCATGCTCGTTTCATTGACTTAGCCATAGACATGCTTTAACTATTGAACATCCCTCCGCTTCTATAAATATTTTTTATGTCCTTGTGCACTATTGTTGAAAATTGTGAACTTATACTTTGATGACACTTTGGTACTATTGTTGTAATACTGTGGCACTTTGCATTATTGTGTTGTGGTATGGTGGCACTTGTAGAAATGTTGAGCGGATTGATTGGGAGTGTCAACACGAGGTTTTGTTGTGCAATTTCTTTCTCTATGGTTGTGCGCGTGGGGAAAAATAAGGGTGGCATTATATCGGTCTGCCCACGTGGAGTAATAAGGGTGTCTATATGCGCATGTGATGAAATAAGGGTGACATATCATTTTTATGTGCACATGCAGCATAATAAGAGTGGCATTTTGATGATGTTGTATGATATTTCAGGATGTCCCCATTCTTGTTGTGACTGTGTTGAGATGGGGTTGTTATTCTTATTTCATAATTATTTCTGAAAAACTTACGTTTGAAACTTACCTGAGTTAATGGCTGCATTTGATATCTTATGACACGCCTTACCTTTATTTGATGTTTTATGATAAAAAATTAGGTTTTACTGCATTGAGTTGTTATTACATGTTCTAAAGGGGTTGTGATTACTATTTTCAATTATATTTCAATTATCAATATTCTTCGATATATTCATTGCGTAGATTATTTGTCTAGTGAGTGTCAAACGACTTGAACCTCGTCACTCTCCATCTAGGTTGGTGACCGAGGAGCCACCAACAGCTCCGGTCTGGGAGCAAGCACATGAGATGTCTGCTACTACCCTTGGACTCTAGGAGACTTTTGCACAATTCCTAAACATGTTCAGTATTTTAGCTCAGACGGGATTGATCCCAGTAGCACGAGCTACTTCTCAGGATGGGGGAGGAGCTTAGACACCCACTGTCCGTAATCTAGGGCAGCGGGTTCATGTTGGTTAGGTCCCAAATATTAAGCCAGAACAGCCCATTATCGCAATTCATCTTGAGGTCAGACTAGTGTCATCAGAGGAGGAGTAGAGGAGGCTTGAGAGGTTCAAGAAGTATGATCCTCCTACTTTCACTGGCGCAGTTTTGGAGGATGCACATGATTTCCTAGACAAGTGTCACCATATTTTCCGCACTATTGGCATTGTGGAGGTAAGTAGAGTCATCTTTACTACATTTCAGCTAATGGGATCTGCATATAGGTGGTGACATGCTTATGAGGAGGGTAGGACAGTTGGTACAACGCCACTCACTTAAGCTCTATTTTCTGATATATATTTGAGGGAGTTTGTCCCATATCCTCCGAAATGTGTGACACAGAGTTCGAGCAGTCGTGTCAAAGGACTATGACAGTGTTAGAGTATGCCATAAGGTTTATTGAGTTATCCCGCCGTGCACCTACTTTGGTTTCAATAGTTACAGAGTGAGTCCGCAGATTTATCGAGGGAACCAATTATGCTATTAGATTCAGTATAGCATGGGAGCTGGAGATCGATACTCCATTCCAGCAGGTTATGGAGATTGCTAGGAGGTTAGAGCGTGTGCATGGTCAGGAGAGGGAGGATAGGGAGGCCAAGAGGACTCGCAGTTCATGAGGATTTTAGGGCTCCTACTCTGGGGGCAAGATCTGTCATGGAAGAGGTTTTATCAGTTGACTAGTTCAGTCTGCACTTTAGGCCACTCATGGTGCCCCAGCTATTCTGGGATCTCTGATTACTCATTTTGCACAACCATTTTCTAGTGCACCTCCTACACAGGGTGCTTGTCGCGTCTTGTTTTCTCGTGAAAGCGGGTTTTGACATATGACAACTCTGTTAAATAGGTATTAAAAAGGAGAATTGCCACCTAATCGTTTTGAGGTGCGTTAGGGCACCTATTATGCAAATAACTCTGTTTGACTAGTCAACACCACCAAATATCGGGTAAGGGCTTAAATTACCTCAAAGAAAAGGTGTTAGACACTCTTCGAGGTGCACAACTGTGGGTCCCAACCGAACTTAAGATTATGTGTAATACAAATAGGCTAAGTGATCAAATAGAAAAAGGGAATATAAAGGTCCAAGAATTTCATTACAACATGATTAGTACAGATCTTAATACGAATATATAGGGATACAACTATTTAGATCTAATAGCAACATATAAAGGAAGGGGGTGGGGATTCTAAGTTTTTAGCTTAAAAGATCACCCCGTGCAACAGAAATAATACTTCGCAACTCCCTTGAGATAGGAGTTACTCATATTATTCAGCTGGCACAGACTATCATCTCCTACTATCCGATTACTATGTTAAAGTTGTTTACCTGAAACGTGCTAATTCAATTCTAAGTCGTGCTCTATGAGTGCACTACCCTTCCCATACCTATGGTCCAGGAGGTATTGGACCTCTACTTGGGTGGTTCTAGACCTTACTTAGGCTGCTCAAAAATGTCAAAACTAGGCGACATACAAAACATAATGGACTTCAAATATTGGGCAATTAAGGGCTTAAGTTTGCCTCCACACTTAAGCAACAAATGCACGCGAGACAAGTTTTCATGTTAGGCAATTCAGAATTAAGAACCTTAAGCCCTATAGACATGATTTCTATGTGACTATGACTTAAAATACACGGATAGTTTCAGATGCAAGGCGCTGCTCATAGACGAGATTATACAATTGTTACAAGCTGATTGTTAAGAATACATATTTCCAGTTATTAATCCTATAGATATTGTGTCTAAGTGATTTATGCAGTAAAGACAGTGAAATCTATTGGAGAAGATCCCAGAATTACTCATACTTTTCTGACAGCGACCTAAGTGAGCAATAAACAATGTTGAGAAGTTCAGTATTAATAATTATTAAGGCGAATAGTGATACCATATATGCAGGATCTCTAATTGGCGCTTGGTACCAGTTTTATTGTGCTTGGTCCCTATAGACATATTTTCTAAGTGAGCAGTATAATACAATAGCAAATGGGATGATTAAAATCCTATAGGCATGATTTCTAGTGGATGTGCTATAATTGTGCGAATTGAAAGAAAGTTCGATGGTATTTGTTTCCTATAGGCAGGTTCTTTAATAACACGTAGCAACAGGAATAATTGAAGCGTTTGAACTCATGTTTTGCCAGTAGACAAGTAGTGTGTGTGTGTGTGTGTTTCTCCTAATGACATGATTTCTACAGTGCATATAGAGATTGCATGCATATATAGCAAGTAAATCGTTTAATCCTACATGTATGTTTTCTACCCTTTCATGCAAACATTAAGAATCTACCCATACCCCTTTTTTTACTAACATCTAATTGTTTATTACAAAGATTACTGCACCAATGATGAATATGATTACAAATATTATACAAATAACGACAATAGTCCCATAACAGGCTCAAAAGGAAATACCCAGCATTGACTGGGCCTTCAACACTCTCACGCATCATACCCAGGAAGTATATTCATCACCACAACCCAAAATCCATAGAAGAACTTAAGCCAGATTACACAACCATAGATTGACCAACCAATTTATATATTCAACAGATAATAGGAAGGAAGAATTGAGTGGGGTAGTTCAAGTATTAGAAGTAAAGAGAATGGCTAAAAGACTCCACACCCTAGTGTGTCATAGTTCATAAGAGTCTCAAATGGACCCCGAGAAATACTCACACTAGGGAGGTCAGTAGTAAGAGCCTTGGTGGCCTTGGCTTTCAGCTGGCCAAGAATGAGAGGTTCGGGATAGCATAGGTAACAAATGAGAGAGAGTGGACAATGGTTAAAGGACATAAGTTGAGGACATACACTTGTAGCTTAAAGTGGACATAGCAAAGTTGAGAACACAAAGCAACTAATCAAACATGTCACTAGAATTAGAAGCAGGTTCAGTAAGACTTAGAAGTAGGTTAAACACTTAAGCAAAACAACACATATACAATCACGTATTGAATGAATTAAGGGAGGAACAAATTTGCAGGATTAACAAAGATTATCATACACAATACCAAACAAGTTAAAACCTAAAA